ATTTGTCTACGAAATTCTTTGGAAAAAGCGGAAAGTAATTAATCATTTCGATACTTCACTAGAAATAAAGTGTTATATATGAGCAACGATTTAAAAGTTAACCAAGAGCACAACGAAGTGCACATATAAAATTATTTTGCTAATCAGTTATGAAAGTTTGAGTAGAATATATCCAGAATCTTCAAAATTATTAATGAAAACGTTCAGTTTAACCTTAGATTTTACTAAGAAGGCTCGGTAATAACTAAAGAAGAAGAGAAGGTGGTGTATGTAATCACGGCAAAAACACACGAGGGCTATCTGCCTAAGGAAAGGGATGCCTTCGTGGAGCTTTCTAAGGGAAACTGACTAGTATACACGTTCACATGGGAAACACGAAAACGCCCATGCAGCCAGCCCGTTCGCGGGATTCGAACCTCGGACCGAACTACCAGTGTTCAGCGACTTTACCGCTCGGCCGCTGGTGGGCCTACTGAAGAAGGCTCGGAATGCAGTTCAAATTGTACTAACAGAAGGTAACAATATGCCTTTTTTTTAAATATTCGCATGATATGTAATAAAAATGAAAGCATGGCCCCGGTTCAGTAATACAATAGAAGGTGTTCAGTAAAAAAAGTTCCTAAACTGAGTTATTGTCACACACGAAATGCATTGAAAGACCGAAAATTAGTAATATATTAGCACTGGACTAGGAGACAAATTTTCAAAGATAAATACAGTGGTACGAAAATTAATCAAAAAGTATAACATGTATAAATATTTCTTCGCAATAAGTTACGAATGTTTTCGTTTCAGTAGAATGAAGTCGGAAAGTATAAATTTGTTAATGAATCACTCATTTCAGCCTTTAAGATTTATTAAAAGATGCAATATACACCATTCACTTAAAATGTAATGCAGTAAGTGAAAATATAACTTGGTTCATCAATACGGTATATTAGTTATGTACAGTTAATTATTCATTTCGAATATGATAAAAAAGAAACTTTTGAGTCACAGAGAAACATATTTACAAAACAATGATTCTTATTTCAATACTAATTGAAATCAAAGCGCTGATGTTTCGTATGAAGATGAGGTATTTTCTTGGACATGTTTCTTATGAAATTACTATATAAACTTCTTTTAAGAAAGAAATAGACTTCACGAGAAAACCTACGACAATGCAAGTCAGTTATCGTGGTGACTTAGAGAAAATATTCCAAGTCTGTATGAGCTGTGTTAAAAGTCTCTCTTATCTACATAGTACGAATACGTCAATGTCAGAGAAAATTAATCTATCCCTATAGAATACTAAGATGAAAATTCCATTTCTTTTCTTAATATCTGGTTGAGCGTGGTAGTGTTGTAGAAGTTAAAGCTTCCAAACGTGTAATAAAATTATTAAAACAAATAATATAACTATTTAGTTAAAATTTGTTCTCAAGACTTACGAGGCATTGTAAACAATAAATAGGAAAATATTTGAAAATTAAATGATTTGCAGTGACAGTAATGTAAAAAAGGGTAATATTCAAAGTGTTCAAAAAAAAAAAAAAAACGGTTTATGAAAACACGAACACATCACAGCCATCCGCAAATAACTTCCGTCAAAACTGAAAAATTTTATACTCAAATTTACTTGGGATGTAGGAAAAGAAAGTTAGGGATTCAAAATGAAGAACTCAGTAACTTTCCGAAATGAAATTTTGCAGATTTCAGGAAATATTCACTTACTTGTAACTTGTTTGTAATTTTAAATCATATATAATGAGCGTATGTAAGACACGAAATATATCGTGTGCGAGAAAAATAACAAAATTTAACTATTGGCAATGACTCAAATTTCATTGGAATGTAAGGATGAAAAGTAGAAAACATATATGAGTGGAATATCTGATGATAACTTCTGAATGTGTTTGTTTATTAAGGTAAAATATGTTCGCTACAGTTTCCGTTAGGATTCAAATGACAGTTGCTTTTTGAGTTGGAAAAAATTCACTTAATTTTTAAGACGAAAATCGCACTTTGTTTAGTCTCTGGGAAAAAAATGTAATTTAAAATGTAATAGAAAAATACACTTAAGTTACAAGTCAAAAAAAAAGAATACATTTAGATTTGTTTTAGGTGAAAAGTTTCACTTTAATTTTTTAAGGAAAAAAATCTCAACTTATTTTGTCATGGAAAACCATGTAATCAAAATGTGAAAAAGTACACTTGGATTGAAAAAAGTCGAAAAAAATTCATTTAGATTTTTAGTCGAAAAATTTCACTTATTTTTTTTTAGGGAGAAAATCCCACTTTTATTTTGTTTGGAAGAGCCTGTTAAATCAAAATGTAAGGGGAAAGTTACACTTTGATTGAAAAAGTCGAAAAGATTATTTGATTTTTAGTCGAAAAATTTCACTTTAATTTTGGGGAGAAAATCTCCTTTTATTTTGTCTATGAAAAACCATGTTAAATCAAAATGTAAGGGTAAAAGTTCCACTTTATTTAAAAAGTCGAAAAAAAATTTATTTTTTTTGGTCGAAAAACTTTCACTTATTTTTTAGGAAGAAAAAACATGTTTTATGGTTACAGTAAACTTCGTTATCGTTTAACCTTATGCTTTGAATTGTAATATTTGAACTGAATCTACAGAAAACGAAATCCTTGATTTATCAAATTCCTTCTAAGTGTAGAAACAGTTTCAACAGAAATATTTAGTATAGTAAATGATTCTAGTAAAAATAAGATTAAAAACACTTCATTATTTTCTGCCCTATTCCTCAAAATGGTAAGGTTTTACCCTGACTTATCCCATTCGGAACATTTTAGAAAAAATATTCATTCTTGTTCAGTTTTCATACTCAGATACTAATTTGTGGAAATCTGACAATTTTTTTTCCTTCTTACATGTTATATTCCTTGCTCTTTGCTTGGGAGAAGATTTTCATCGATAATGCATACCTCTCCTATACGTCTGCGACTCTTCTAATAAATTACATTACCAACTAGTGTAAATAATATCTATAGATATATAGATGCGTATCGTCAGTTAAATTGAATATATTAAAGTTAAGTTGTATTATTATTTGGAATTCATGCAAATGTTTCCTGTTGTGCAGAATTTTATATGCTATGTCTCATAACTTAAAAATCCTTCTCAAAAAGCTGCGTAAGAGTACAGTGTTTGTCAATTTGAAATGTATACCTTAAGTTAGAAGGAATATATTAGAAAGCTTTTAGACTTGTAAAAATAATGATCATAACTCTTTGGAAAAAATATTCCTGGCTGAGAAATTTTTATATTCTAAGTTGGGAAAAAGATGACAAAGTTTCACTTCCTTGACTGAATATTAATTCATGTGTATTATAGACATCCTTTCTTTTTAGATGTTTTACACAAATATGACTATATTTTGAATTCAAAATATTACATTACAATCTGGATATTCTTTTCTTCAGTTAAAAATTCTGTAGCTTGTTAAAAAATTAAGGCTATGTTACGTTCAATAGATATTAATGAATCCTCCTGCTCAATAAAAATGAGTGTTCTGAATATATTCATGTAAATGTCTGTAGTGTAAAATAATAAGAAATTAAATGCTGTTGGTACGTATTAGACTGGGGTATACAATAATAAGAAATTTCGTATTTTTTCATATGTATTTGAACTAAACTATCTAGAGATGTCCATATATTAGTTCAAATAGATTTTATGTCATGAAAATTTATTATTTCTGAATTATAAGATTTAAATCAAAGTCTTTTTATTTTTTTTTTAATATTGGCCTTGAAAATGGCCCTTGTATTTTTAATTTGTGGCCCTGAAAAGGGACCTTTTTTTTTTAACTGAGGTATTCAGTTCCGCTAAGATTATAACAAGTAACAATATCGTTATTGTATTTATTAGGAAAATGCTAACGTAATTTGACAAAAATATTCGTTACGGTAATCTTAGCGGAACTGTTTTTTCAGGTTTATGAGATTTTCCAGCTTAATGAGGTTCAAAATTATACACATATGTCGAAGATGAAGCAGATACGATAGCAACTGCTTTTTTCCCATACCGGTCAGTGAATGAATGTTGTTGTTGTCTTGACCATATTACATGGAATAATGTTTGCCAGAGCCTACTCCGAAGAAAGGTTGGACTTAAGGGAGGGATGCCTTCGTGGAGGACCTTTCTAAGGGAAACTGGCTCGTATACACGTTACACATGGAGAAAACCACGAAAACGCCCATGCAGCCAGCCCGTTCCCGGGATTCGAACCTCGGACCGAACTACCAGTGTTCAGCGACGTTACGGCTGGTGGGCCAGTGAATGAATGAATGCTTTAATTGCATTTCTCTTCAAGAATGGGGTGAGGTCGAGGTTGATGGAATTTGCAGTTTCGCCAATAATACCGAAAAAAGGGGATGTCTTCCTGCTGGTCATTGAATGATTGACAAGATTTAGAAAATTTTTAAACAAAATTCTGGACGCAAAGTAATCTATCGTTTTCACATAATAATCATATTATGAAAATCAGCTTCTAAAATGAAATGCTAAGAAACAGCACACTTCTGTTCAACATTGGAGATTATTTTAAACTAAGGAATTACTATCATCCTACTACATTAAGATATTGCATAGAAGTAAATATGCGAATACCAAGAAAATATTAGTAAATGAAAACTCCAATTATCAGATTTAAAAATTAAATGTGACAAATAAATATATGGTACTCTTCAAACTCAGTAATCAATGGAATTGAATCGTAGGGAAAAAAAAAAAATTAAATCTTGTAAATATTAACTGAAATGCAAATACCAAAAGTATATAAATGTAAAGATGTTTAAAAAAGACGTCAAATGTTTAATTTTTAGGAAATGGAAAAGAAGAAAGGTTTAATCCTAGTATACGGTACACGGGATTAGGCGCCATTATGATGATCAGTTAACGAGTCATTTTGGCGTTGGCGAAAATTCTCAAAATCGCACCAAGGCCGCACCGTATAGTAGGATTTGACTGAAAAAAAAAAATAAGAAACTCTTACCATTGTTGATGTAAAGGGATCCGTTGATGATGGAATTCGATGCGACTTATATTCTGCGATTAATTCCCAGTATGGAGACGCAAGTTACTTTAGAATGAATTTCCCAACGACTAACGCGGAGACTTATTAATATAACCGAGCTATTGCGCAGAATATAACCGAGCTATTGCGCAGCGCAAAGATGCCGATTCATGAACTACAGCCCGAGGGAACATGACCTGATGAATTCTGAACGGGAAACATCCCTGAAGAGAAACAGGGGGGAAGGAAAGGGAGAGAGGTACCAAAGAGAATCAAGGTCAAAATCAAAGAGAATCAGATAAAATCTCAAGAAGTACCCAAAATGATCCGGAGGCCATGAAGGTTCAATGACAATTGTAAACAAGATTCAACATACGATAAAATAGCAAAACTTACAAGATAAAAACGCTACAATAAATACAGCACATTATCAATTAATACAAAATCAAAAGAAAATATTTCCAAACAGTTTAGAAAACAACATAGAAATCAGATAAAATGAAAGTATCACCGACCGAGGAGCTAAGTCATAAAATTCTGATTGCTGATGTGAGCTGAAGATAACGAATAATATTTGTGATTTCCAACGGGGTGGTAAGTTTGGGAAGATTATGAGCCGAATGAGAAAGAAGCCATGATCTCTATACTTCGCGACAAGCTAACCTCGAAACACAGAACACATACAAGGCTAGAACCAAAGCTGTATATATAATAAAGCGTCGTCAGCTCAATGGACGAACCTGCGCTTTGCCGCGATCGCAGCGCTCCTGGTGGTTGCGCTGTGGAAACACAATTAATTGAACTGCGCATGCTCCCGATTTACAGTTGTTTTTGAACGTAATGCCCATGCTGGTTTCAAGAGCTGCATTGATTTGACTCACGTACATTTTTCTTTGCAGTTTCTATCAAACGGATCTTTTCAAACCCAATTTCATTATTATTTTCATTTTTCTGACATAAAGTGATGGAATACATTTCTACAGATTTCCCAAGGAAGAAAAAAGGTTAGTACTAAATTATTTTATGATTTCTTTCCACTTTTGTCATAAAAAATTATTTCGTTAAATGTAATTTATTTGTATCTCATCCTGAACTTTTGCTGAAAAATTTATAAAGTACCTCAAACTCGGAAACAAAAATTGATATTTAAAAATTCGGCTTAAGTGCAGAATCGCCCATTTATTTGTTTGGCGTTTATTTGCCGGTTCAGAAACAAAAAAAGTGAAGCTTAGACCTTTTCTTCCCGCAATATTGCACATCCAGAGTTATTTATATTACAGTTCCTTTAGGTTTGGCACATTATAGCCACCTAACCCTGTTAAAAGTAATGGTGTTATTTTTGAAGCAACTTAAAAGTTGTTAATGTATTGCTTTTGTTTGTGATCTGGATAATCAAAAGTGTTAAGAGAGAATGTTTGAAACAAACACATTAAAGTACTTTTACATTAACTGCATGCTAGACTAAGCTACTGGCGTGAATTATAATAATAATAAAAAAAAAAAAATGATCTTTGATTGTTAAGGTGAAATGATTGATAAAAGAACATGCTTTTAGTTTGTAAATCTATTTTTAGGAATAGTTTACCAATTATAAAGGTGTAGGCAAAATGCACTGTTTACAATAGTAAACAAAATATGGATGTCCAAATTACAGGTAAACGATTACGTAATTGGAGAATGGGTATCATAGAATAATGAAGTTGTTTTATCCAAGTAAAGTGATAAAAGTAAATGACTCTTACTGTGTGAACGTGATGATTCCCGGGGGCCATGAAATTTGCTGTTTTGGTCCCTTAGATTGAAAAAAATATTGTCAAATTTTATTTTTCTATTCATTCATTTTGTTATTTGATATGAGAAAAAAAAAAATCGTATTAGTCCGTATGACATTTTCATGGAGAGGATTAGGGGCAAACCTATAATAAATTGTTCAATGAAGACACTAGTTTTGCTTTCATCTTTTCAGGAAATACAGGGCTTCAATTTAAATGTAGGGGAGAGGGATAATTCACATTAATCAATATTTCATTATCTGTTATTTAAAAGTATGCTGGTGTTTCATAGATGCTTAAAAAAGTAAAATTGCTTCATGGAGAGGGGGCAGTATTAGGGTTATCTCCAGAACACTAAATTAATGCAATTTATATTATACATTAAACTAATGCAGTTAATATGTATAGTTATTTATTTTCCATCTTTTTTTGTTTTAGATGTCAAGCTTGGGTCGAGGCTTCGCAGAATGAAAAACTTGTGGGTGTTCCTGCCTCTGACCTACACAAAAGAGCCTATCTATGTATGGTACATTTTGAAGACTGGTGCTTTCGTTAATATCACTACTAAACATCGTTTAGTACACATGCAGTACCATGTTCTACAAAACTCCAGGTGACAAAGGGTTTGGTTCCACATAAGTGCCTGAGTTAAGTCACATGACAGTGCCAAATTCTGTGACAAATGGTTCAGTTCGAGATAAAATGTCCCGAGATAAATCATATCACAGTGCCAAGTTCTCTGAACATCATCAGTCAGATTTTCAACAGGATTAATATCCAAGTTCAAGGACCCAATAATCTTTATCAAAATGTCTGCTCCACTGAACTTTCAACTTGTAACGCATCTTTAATGTCTCTCATTCCACAGCAGTCATTTTCAACACCAGTGAGACTGTAGCACACCGAAGTCACATTATTCTGGGAAAAAATACACACCCAGAAAATCACAATTGTCAAAAAAAAGTTCAAAATATCGTGACATGGCAAGACGGCTGAAATTAAAATTTGTGTCATCTAAGAAGAAATTTTCTACAGCTCATTCTCTTGAAAAAACCCTTTCCAGTCAGGAGTTAGTAAAAAATTATCTTCTTTTATTCAGGCGCCAGGTAACATTGAATACCCAGAAAACAAAAAAAGAAGACGTTTTACGCATTCAGATAAATCGATGCCTACCGCATCTACAGCAAAAGTCGGGCAGCTTATCGTGTTTTGAAAGAGTTCCTTGAACTTCCAGCTGAACGAACTCTTCAACGTTTTGTCTCATCAAAATTGTCATGTACAGGAATCAGTGCAGATATCATATCAGCACTAAAACAAGTTTTACAAAATAAGGAAAATCACGAAAGAATGTTTGCATTGATCTTTGATGAGATGTCATTGAAACCCTGTCTAGTGCATGATAAACAAAATGATCGCATAGTTGGATTTGAGGACTTAGGTGGTTTTCCCGTGGTGATTCAATTGCAAATCATGTACTAGTATTAATGCTGAGAAGTTTAAACCAGCAAGAAGAAACTTCCACTTGGATTTTACTTCTCCAACCATGCAATAAATGCAGAAAGACTGAGAGAAATACTCACAGAAGCTTAACAAAATTATCGGATGCTAATGCCGTAGTTTAAAGCTCTGGTTTGTGACCAGGGGGGAAATAATAGTAGGTTGTTTAGAAATTTTAGGAGTGGATTCTCTTAAACCATTTTTTTGATTTTAATGGACAGACTATTTATTGTTTTGTTTGATCCACCACATCTTTTGAAAATTTGAGGAGGAATCTTATGAAGTAAGGCCTGCAGACAAGTAAAGGATTCGTATCTTTCAAATACATTCGAGACTTCCATGAAGTAGATAAAACACTGCTTATTCCGCTGTGCACCGAAAATGACTGATGCACACTTAAATACAATGGGATTAAACTCCATGAAAGTTGCTCTGCTGCACAAGTGTTCAGCCACACAGTAGCAGCAGGAATGAACCTGTGATATTTTGTCTGGACTGATAGAAGCAAGTGCTGCTCCAACAGTAGAGTTCATTTCTAAAGATTGAACAGTTTGTTTGACTCCATGAATGGAACTCAAAAGAATACCTTTAAGAGAAAAACAGCTCCATTGGCAGTGAAAGAAGGTCTGCGCATATTAATTTTTGGAAAGAGAATGATAGCATATGTTGAATCATGGTTTTTTTGCAACCGCTTGCACAAAACCAAGATGGTCCAAAGAAAGCATGCTTCAGGACCACGTAGCAGAATAGGCTGGTTGCAAACTCTCGAGCAATACTAAACTTTCTGAAGAAATGTTACATGAACGGGAATATTTTATGACAA